AAAAGGTGTAACCTTAACTATGTACTAGATATTTTATATCATTATATTATTTAATAATAATTTATGGGTATGTCTGTGGATAGGTGAGTAGATTATTCCTATTTTTAAAGAAAGACAAGAGTGTTAGGGAGATTATGTGATTTCTTCAGTGTCCCTAGCTGGTAAAGAAGCTGGGATTCCAAACCACATGTGTATGACTTTAAACATTGAGGTGCTTTCCTCATATAGTCACTCTCCCAAAGTGGGCTGAAGTGTTCCCACTTCCATCCCACACTCTGCTACAAGGAGTCCAATAGCATTTATTGGCAACAAATTTCTGGGCATTGTATCTTCTGACAATGGGCTTAAACAGCCCTAAGTTGGTTAAGGAATTAATGGGAAAATAGCCTATATTTTCAGTCTCTATTTCCCTAGCTCCAGATTGCTTCTTTACTCATCGCAGTTTGGCTTCTGGTCTACTACTCCAACACACATACTTAATCAGCACACCCACCCCCCATTTTACTTGACTTATTCTGGCAGTGTACATTGTTGAATATTCCTCCCTTGACACTCATTCCTCACATGGGTTCTGGACCCCACTTGCTCCTGGTTTTCTCCCTGCCACATCTAGTCACTGCTTTTCATTCACCTTCCTCGGCCTATTCCTTAAATATTGGCTTCCTCTTACACACTTCTCCATGACTTCCACTTGACATCTGCATCTCTAGTCTGGACCTCTCTCTTGAGCTTGTATATCTAACTGCCTTCACTTGGATGGTATCATATATCTTAAATTCAATGTGTTTAACAACATAACCGATCATCTTACTTTCTTATCCCACTTATGGAAAGCTAGTCATCAAAGTATGATAGAAGTCTTCCCAGTTCCTTACCCTCATGTCTCCCTTCCCTCATCTATTTGTTTTTCAATATGCACCAAATCCTACTATTCTGTCTCTGCAGTTTCTCTTGTATTAGTTCAACTCCTGTCTCTATGCCCTTTACCTTAATTAAGATATATATTCTCTTCTACTTGGTCTATTTCAATAATGTCCTAATTGGTCTCTCTTTTTCTATGTTCTTTCCATCTCTCTTATCCATTCTCCAGGTTCCCCACTGTGTTTATTCTAAACTCTGCCTCAGGTTTCATACCTTCTCATACAAAAAGCTTTTTGGGATGACTTATTTCCTTGGAAAGATGTATAGCCTTCAAAGATTTGGGCTGCTTTCCAGCATCTGGAAAAACTGAGCTCATTTCACATCTAAACATTTGGTTTCTTCTCCCTACTCTTGTGCTTGCCTAGTGAAAACTGCTCATCTTTCAAAGGTTGTCTCAAGTATCATTTTTTTTCTGGGAAGTTCTCTTAGTCTGTTCTGGCTGCCATAACAAAGTACTATAAACTGGGCTGCTTAAACAACAAACATTTATTTCTCACAGTTCTGGAAGTGTGAAGTCCAAGGTAAGGCACCAGCAGATCTGATGTCTGGTAAGAGGCCACTTCGTGGTTCATTAGGGCCATCTTCTTGCTGTGTCCTCACATGGTGGAAAGAGCAAGGGAGTTCTCTGGGACCTCTTTTTTAAGGGCACTAATCCCATTCTGAGGGCACTACCCTCCTGAGATAATCACCTCCCAAACACTGAGAATTTTGAAGTGAATTTTGACAAGCATTCTGTTCACAGCAGAAGCTTCCCTATTTTCCTTCTCCAGCTTCTGCCACATTCCCACACTCCTCCTCCCTGCCTCCTCTCTACTACCCTTTTCTGGCAGTTAGCTGCTTACTCTTCTCTGTTGCAGTAGTACATTGCATTTCTCAATAATATAGACTTTATACTGTGTGTAACTAAAAACAAAGTACTCACTCATCCATAGGCTCTTTGATGGCAGGGATTGTTGCTTTTTAAAAAGTCTTTACATTGCTAGCATTTAGCACACATTATTTTCATGAATGAAAGAAGTTAATGACTTAATGAAAATGAACATAAACCTAATCTTAGCTGTCACCATGATATCTCATTACCTTCAGGAAAATGATCAGCCTGTAAATATGCTGCAAATAACCATAGATTACAGATTGTTGGAAGAATCTAGTCAATGGGACTCTCCATGTTTAAAACTTTTCACCATGCATTGAGAGATATAAGCAAAAAGACAGTATATTCACACTTGCCTTGACCATCTCCATCTAGCATTAATAAGGACCTAAAAGACAAATGGAAATGAATTGTGACTGTTCACCGTGTTAGCCTTCACTTGTAGCTGTTAGTTGTTTCTCTGAGATGTAAGCCAAGATGCATATATCTTGCCTCTGTAACTGAAATAGGGAGTTCCAGTTGTATAGGTGAAGGGACTGGGACATCATCTTTTGGAGCTGTTGTGTATGGGATCATCTCAGACACCTTGGCAGTAGTAAAGCCATTACAGTGTAGAGCCAATTGATATGTCCTGGCAGCATCTCCTGAGCATGCTCCAGAGACAAAAGATCAAGAGAGCAGTAACTCTTCTTTGGCACTCCAGCTATGGAAAATGAAGTCATGATATTTCAATTTTCAGTGGCACAGCTCCAAGTCACTTTCATAAGAGGTGTCTCCTTGTCAAAAGATGTTTAGCTAAGATAGGGGAGATGTTATATATACCAGGGAGGTACTATTCAGTGTTAGTGCAGAAGAATAATTATCTGCTGGTTGCAACTTTGAAATCTTTCAATTGAATATTTTGAGTCTTTGAAACATTTCCATTACATTTTTGGCTTTTTGTTATGGCACTGATTATAATGGAATTCTTGTTAAACAATAAGAATTTGACCCCCCAACATATATTTCTGAAACTGCTATGATTTTGTCTATTTGAACTTTGTATCATTCTTTCTGATGTACATGCTTGAGCTCTGCTGCTAGACTGCAGACTCCTTCGAACAGGGACAATGTGTTAATCATCTCTGTAGCCTGTCACCACTGTATTTAGCACTGTGACTTGCATATGCTAGATTCACAATAAATGTCCCACAATTAACTTAGTGGGAGTATTAAATTTTGCTGAGGTTGTGGCATAGCTTTTTCAGGCAAAATGGAAGACTGAGGGACATGAATTCTTGGTGGCCTGCTTTGTATTCAGGAATTCTTTTAACATGAGGATTTTAAAAGAAAATTTGTAGATAACTGATATTCATCAAATACCTATTTTATTAATAGTTCTTTAAAGATCCAAAGGTTACACTGTTAGTGGGGTATTATAAATGCTTCCTCTTACTTGACTGGCCAGCTTCTCTTTGTCTTGTTTGTTTGTTTGGTCTTCCCTGACTTCTAAATGTTGTCATGATCCAGGTCTGAGCCTTTGGACTTGTCTCTCTTCCTGATTGCCTCAAATCTCAAGGGTTTTCAATAACAGCCCTATGCTAATGAGTCTAGTTTGCTCTTGAACCATCCAGATGCTTGTTTGCAACTCTACTTGGCTATCTAATGGACATCTCAAATCTAGTATGTCCAAATCTGAATTTCTGATCTCCTTTCAAAATCTTGCACTTCCCATAATCTTGCCTATCTCTAAATAGCAACTTCATCCTTCCAGTTTCTCAGGCCAGAAATCTTGGAGTCATCCTTCACACCTCTCCCTTTTTTTCCCACATAAAATCCATCCGCAAATCCTGTTGCCTCTACCATAAAAATATATCTAGAATTAGACTGTTTCTTCATACCATCATTGCTACTGGGGTTATTTGAGCAACCATTAGCTTTCCCCTGGGTTAATGAACATACCTCCAAACTGATCTCTCTATGTTCTGCCTTCCTCTCACATGGTCTGTTTTCAGCACAGGGCTCAGTGTGTGCTCCTTTTAAAACTTAGGGTGTGCCATTCCTTTGCTGTCAATAGTCTCCATCTCATTTAGAGTACAAGCCAGAGCCCTTTCGGGGGTTACAAGGCCCTCAGCAGTCCGGCCCCATGCCGCCTCTCTGACCTCATTCCATTGTTTTCTCTTGTTCACTCTGCTTCAGCAACTCTGGCCTCTCAGCCCTTGTCAAACACCACCTGTGCTGCTGCATCGTCCATCTGGGCTTTGCCGCCAGCTGCCTCACCTGCCTGTGAGCACCTCCTCCAGATCCAGCAGCTTTTGCTCCCTTACTCCTTCAGGTCTTCACTCTGATGGCCCTTCTCAGAGGCCTTTCTGATCGCATGAATGTAAGCTGCCCATCCCCTTTCTATGCTATTCCTTTTTCTCTACAGCATTTTTCACACTTTGACCCACTTTACCTATCTATCTCCTCAAGTACAGGCACTTCCATCCATTTCTTTCACTGGTGTATCCACTGCATGAGGAAGTGCTTGCCTTCTGGTGGTAAGAAATAAATATTTGTTGGATAAATGAATGAATACATTTTCTTTTTGTATTTGGCATCCCCTGTTTTTAAAGAACTTATTCTGGCGGCATTCACAAGCTGAGCTGGAGGATTTGCCATGTGGTGCTTTTAGGTTTGTAATAAGAGGAATGATAAGCTATTGATTTGTAAAGGCTATACTTTTCTGCACTTCTCACAATGTATTAGAAAGAAGTCAGCTAAAACTTTCACAGGAAAAATAGCATTGTGGGAATACAAAGACTTTATTTTGAAGCTTAGATTTTAACAGATGATCAGCAGAATTAGGATCTTATTTTTTAAAAGAATCTGGAATGTGGAAGAAAACATACAAATGAAGATACTTTATACCTGTTTCCTCATGGAACATACCAGTTCCATTTTCTGACTCAACACAGTGAGCCTTATATGTATGAAGACTCCAATCTTTGCAGTCATCTGGGTTCAAATATCAACACTGCTATTTCCTTGCTCAAGGACAAATTGCTTAACCTCATGAAGACTTTCTTTTCTCATCTAAAGCATGGGGATAGCAAAATCTAGTCAAATGTGAGAGCCTATGCAAACCAGGCCCAGAGTTAGACATGTAACAAATACATTTTCTTTTTCTCAAATATTCCTATTCTCTCTCTCTTTTTTTCTCTTTATGGTCTTTTGCAAATTGAAGATTGGCCTAGAATCAGAGGAGATGTTCCAGGCTTCCAAGTGCTTGTTTCCTGTGATCCATTTGCAAACACACAGTGAGTCCTCTCTTTCTAGCTGGGTGTGTAATCAGGCAATAGCTGGAGCAGAATCTAAGTCATGGGAAGCTCCCTCTCTCTCTGTGCCGAGTGTGCCAAGTGGAGGGGGCATGGGTCTCTTCTCTGGGCCCCTAATGAAGCTGAGCTGCCTTCTGCATCATTTAGAAGTGCTGACCCGGCACCCTGTTCTAAATGGTGCCTTCATCATAATCCCATCTAAGACTATTATTGCTGTGTTTGAAACCTTGGAGATAGGCTGCAGTGGGAATTAGTGAAGGAAATTCTTTTTTTAATAATGAAATCCTTTCACTCTCCCTCTTCCCCCAACTTATTAGAGATACACCTGGATTAGCAAAGGCAGTTGATTTTATCTGGGTCATTTCATAAATCACATTTAATGGCTCCTAAAGAAATTGGGCTGACAACATTGGAGTTCTTGTGTTGAATTCTCAAGATTTCTTTATTTTGTGATTCCTTATTTTAGCAGGTTGGAATAAAGACTGTAAGACCTTTAAAACCCTCACTGATTTAATTTTCTTGAAAAGGTTTTTATTTTCTCCCTTCTTAGCAGATAGGTACAAATCAATTAACATATGACCTCACTCAAGTTTACTCAGGGTTTATACAATTTTTTCTCTATCACCTTACTTCTTTTTTAGAATAGCCACAACCCTAGCACTGCTCTCTTTTAAAAAAAAAATTCTTTATTGTTGTATACATCTTTGGAGTGTTCCTAAAGTTACCTGTAAATTCACAAAGGAAATGTTGAGTTGAATTTAGAGGGTTCAATTTTTAAATTTTTCACATTTTCCAAGGAAAAGGGGTGGCAGGAGGTAATGGAAACTTTCCTTAATCTCCCAGAAACCTGTGTTTTTACTTCCCCCTCCACAAGGTGTCTTCACCAACCAGCATCCCTGGCTCTCAGCAGAAACCACGGGACCCAGGCCTCGCTGGCAGTGGGGTCTGTCCAGCCAACGCATCTTTGTTCAAGCATGCAGTCTCAATGAAACAACTAAATTCCCAGTGGACACCACGAACCCCTCAGGATTGAGGTGGACATCACTAAGTGAACTGGGAATCTGGTTCTGACAGGTTCAGTGGCGAGCATGGCCACCACACTGATTAGGGAACCTGGTGTCCCCAGCGCTAGTGTGCACAGCTTGCGCCCCTTGGCAGGGACTGCCGGCCAAGAAATTCACATGGACACAACCACGTTGGTCTTCGCTGGAAAACTCAAACCCTGAATTCTCAGGGAGCAGGGGGTTTTAGAAAAAGAAAAGTTGTCAAGGTTCACACTCGTGAGAGGTGACATTTTATTCTTTCTTGGAGTGTGAACTGTTTGTAATGTTTAAAAATGTGTCTACCCAAAGTCCGTGTAGGTGCCCTTCCTGTGGTTGTATTCATTGTCGGAGGCTTTTTTCCTCAATCCATCCCCTACTAAGAATTCACCTTGTATCATAGCTATTAAGCTTTTGTGATGTTTTGTCACTATAAATGACCAATATAGTATCAGTTGGTCATTTCTTGGAAGGTGATTGTCCCATTGTTTTTATGTTCAGAATCACTGCAGGAGGCAAGAATGAAATCCGAAATCAATTTTATGTACAGTCCCATTTTCTAAGGTATAATCTAAAGTGCCAAGATGCCATGGTGAAATGAGTAAGAAAAATCTGGATTTGAATCCTGGTCCATTTATTTCCTGTGTGAACCCTGGGCTAATTACTTGGAGACCCTGGGCATCACTTTTCCCATCTCACATCCTGATTGTGAGTGTGTAGTGTGTGCTGCATGGAAAGCATTTATGGTGGTGCCTGCTGTTTGGCATGTTCTCAGTGAACATGAGCCATATGAAATTCTGTCAGCTGAACATTCAGCTACACTTTCTTTTAGCTTTTTTTGCCCATGGGAATGGGAAGGGTTGGAGGGAAGGATGTTTTACATTTAACTTTTTAATCTCTTAGGAGTTTATTTTGATATACGGTATGAGGTGAAGTTCTAACTTGGAGGTTTTTCCGATGGGCCAAAATTTTCAAAGTGCCATTTGTTGAGCAATTCTTCCCATTGCTTTTTGTAAAGCTGTAGAGGTTCCTTTATCATTGATCACACTCTTCTGTCTGTCTGTCAGCCTCAGGGATGTCTTATGTAATCCATGAGCTGTCGGTCAGTTCTTGTTCTAGTACTTGTCGTGGTTGTCTGTCTTCCTTTACTCTTTTATTGAGATAGAACTTAGATCCAGTGAAGTGCAGGAGTCTTAAGCATACAGCTTCAAGGATGTTGATGTTCTCAGACTTGTAATTACTACCCACATCAACTGAGAGACCCCCAGATGGCTCCCTCATGCCTGCTCCCTAAGGTGACCACTGTTCTAAATTCTGTCACCAGAGCTTAAGGAAATTTCTATTCCTAGTTCATTTAGGAATAGAACAGGAGATAAATTTTGTTATATATGGTTATTCTGTACCTATTGACATAAGTGTAAGAGTTTTTCCTCCTCTATTCTGTTCGTGGGTAGATTAAATTGGTTGATTTTCAAATATTAAATGAACTTAGCATTTTTGAAATAAATCCTACCTGCTCATGATGTGTTATTCTTTTTTACAAATCAAGGGATTTGAATTTCAAATATCTTGGTTATGGTCTTTACATCTTTGTTCATTAAAGATATTGGCCTGTCATTTTTCTTTCTTGTAATATCCTTTTCAGATTTTAGTATCTAGGTTACGCTTGCCCCATCACATGAGTTAATCAATGTTTACCTCATTTTTTATTCTCTTATTTAACTTTGGTGTTATTTCTTCTTGTAAAGTTGAACAGATTTCACCAGTGAAGCCATCTGGGGCTAGAGGTTTCTCTGTGAAAAGAAATGAAATAATTAGTTAAAATTTTTTAATACATAAGGGACCTTTCAGATTTTATTCTTCTCAGACCTTTTCTAATGTATAATCTGTTTCCTTAAAAACACTGCTTTTGCTGCTTTTCACAAGTTTAACATGTTGTATTTTCATTATAAAGTAAGCTCAACATATTTCCTAATTTGTTCCAAGTATCTTTCTGGTTATCTTTCTTTTATTGATTTCTAGTTTAACTGCCTTATGGTAAGAAAATATACTCTTGTGATTTCAATTGTGTGAAATTTGAAATTTGTGATATTTTCTTTATGGCATAATATATTGTCCATTTCAGTATGTGTGTGTGTATAATATGTATATATTCTCAATACTAGGCTAATTTGATTAATCATACTCAATTTTTATATTATCTGATTTATTTTCAGTTTGTTAGAGAAAGAAATATTAAAATATTGAAATATGGTCAAAGATTTTTCCTATTTTCCTTTATATAATTTGAAGTTATGTTATAGAGGGTTGTTACATCTTCCTATTCAATTGACTATTACTCATTATGAAATATCCTTATTTTGAATACTTCTGCCTTCCTGTTTACTCTGATATTAATATAAATACATTACATTGATTTTGGTTACTATTTGCATGATAGGTCTTTTTTCTTGCCAGTTTTATCAAACTTAAAATGGGTTTCTTATAAATAGATATAGTTGGGTTTTCTTTACTTTTATCCAGTGTGACAATATTTATATTTTAAGTGGAGTATTTGGTACACTTACATTTATTGTAGTTACTGATGTAATTGGGCTTAAAGCATCTTAATTTGTTTTCTGTACTCATCCTGTCTGTTCTTTGTTCCATTATTTCTTTTCTTGCCTTTTGGAGTAATCAGATACTTGTATTAGTCTGTTTTTTCTATTGTTTACTTTTTAGTTATATTTTTATTCTGTAGATGGTTGCCCAGGAGATCATAATATTCACTGTTGAATTTTTAAAGTCTACTCTAAAATAGTACTTTTATTACTTCCTGAATAATTCAAAAACTTTTTAACAATTTGATTTCTTGTACCCACCTCTGCACTTTTGTTTCTGTTATCATACATTTTACTTCTAAAAATATTTTGAATCCTCAAGGACTTATAATTAATTTTTGTTTTTTATTAAGGTATAATTTATCACTTCATGTATAGAGTAAGGACCTTAAAACAGTATATTCTTAATTCCTCCTTCCCACCCTTTGTCATCATATATTTTATTTTAATATATGCTCTATATACCCAATATACTGCTATTATTTTTGCTTAGATAGTTGTCTTCTGGAAAAGTTAGAAATAGGAAAATGAATTTTTAAATTTACCTTCATTTATCTAATTTCCAGTACTCTTTATTTCTTTATGTAGATTCAAATTTCTGTCTGTTGTCGCGACCCTTCAGGGACCGAAGCAACACGCCCAAGGTCTTGATTCTTCTCTAGGCTTTATTGTCTAATCTCTCGCAGCGGTTACAGCAGTTGTCGGGAAGCTCCTCTCCCTCCCAGCGGCCTCCCTTATATTCAGTCACCCAACCAATCTGGGACAGTATCATGCGTGACCTTTAAGCGGATAGGTGTCACGCACCACTCTAAGCGGACAGCACGAGCTGTGCACGGGTACGGAAGTCTGCTGGGCCAATCCCCAACAGGAAAGAGGGGAAAGGGTGGTGAGCAGGAAATGGGCGCCATCTTCTCCAGCTGGTGACGAGGCTAAAATACCAGGTCTTAGAACTACCACTGGGCAAGGGAGCTGCGGTGGATCAGCCCCGGGACCGAGCCCTGG